ATGTACCTGTACTAACAACATGGTACTTAGTGAGCTATATAGGAAGGGAGATGTGTACCTGTACTAACACGATGGGACTTAATGAGCTCTATAGGTAGGAAATGAGTACCTGTACTAACAAGATGGGACTTAATGAGCTCTATAGGTTAGCGATGTGTACCTGTACTAACAAGGTAGGACTTATTGAGCTCTATAGGTAGGGAGACGTGTACTTGTACTAACAAGATGGGACTTAGTGAGTTCTATAGGTAGGCGATGTGTACCTGTACTAACAAGGTGGGACTTAGTGAGCTCTATAGGTAGGGAGATGTGTACCTGTACTAACAATCTGGGACTTAGTGAGTTCTATAGGTAGGCGATGTGTACCTGTACTAACAAGTTGGGACTTAGTGAGCTCTATAGGTAGGGAGATGTGTACCTGTACTANAGACTTAGTGAGCTCTATATGTAGGGAGATATGTACCTTTACTAACAAGATGGGACTTATTGAGCTCTATAGGCAGGGAAATGTGTACCTGTACAAACAAGATGAGACTATGTGAGCTCTAAAGATGTGTACCTGTAGTAATAAGATGGGACTTAGTAAGCTCTATAGGTAGGGAGATATGTACCTTTCCTAACAAGATGGGACTTAGTAAGCTCTATAGGTAGGGAGACGTGTACCTGTGCTAACAAGATGGGACTTAGTAAGCTCTATAGGTAGGGAATGTCTACCTGTACTTACAAGGTGGGACTTAGTGAGCTCTATAGGTAGAGAGACGTGTACCTGTACTAACAAGATGGGACTTAGTGAGCTCTATAGGTAGGGAGATGTGTACATGTAATTACAAGATGGGACTTATTGAGCTCTATATTCAGGGAAATGTGTACCTGTACTAACAAGATGAGACTATGTGAGCTCTAAAGGTAGGGAGATGTGAACTTGTACTAGCAAGATGGGACTTAGTGAGCTCTATAGGTAGGTAGATATGTACCTATACTAACAACATGGTACTTAGTGAGCTCTATAT